GCGCACGTCCATATCGGTGTGTCATCGCAATGCGGCATTGCCACATACTATGGAGGCCGACAGGCATAATCATGTCATAAAGTACAAAGCTGCCCCCTCCCTCCACAAATAAATGACGGATGCCGCGAGGCGTTAACGGAAGATACTTCTTAAAGTCCTTTGAAGGACGTCCCAAAAAAAAAAAATACTGAGTCCCAGAAGTTAAAGAACTCGTGTTCTGTTGTCTCTGGTGCTTTGCAAAGCAAACAGTTTACCGAACAAGCAACAGGAATACCCCTTTCCTCCTAAAAGACTTTGACCGGCAGGATACAACTGTTCAACTGGAGAAAAAAAGTATTCTTGTACGCTTGACACGTTTCAAAACATCCTGACCACGTCCCGGGCCATGCAAGGCACGCTTGCACGGCTTGGAAACAAGCGGGAGCTTAGATATCTATATGTTTCGCTATCGCGTCCCCCTCTTAAAGGCGAAGTTTTTTAAGGAAATTCTTCTCAGCTCGAAGGAAACTTTATTTTCCCTACTAAGGCAAATATTAGAATACGTCCATATTGCTTGAAATGCGCATACTCAAACTTAATTAATAAAAAAAACTAATTTAAAATTAAGCCACAAGTTATGTGACATATAACTACAATTTCCTCGATAAAACCCCAGAAATAGAACAGTGACTGGAATGGTGAAGCCTGCAACATAAACGGAAATATTTATATCTAAAATTTTTTCAGAAACACTGATCCAGATAAACCTAAATATGTTCTAACACTCTAGTACATTTCGGGGAGAGTAAATAAAAGTAAAAAGATTCGAGAACTTTTTGCTTCAACTGATGTGCTAAAGTACTCATTTTTTCCTCAGACGGTTCAACGCTGGAACGTGCTGCCTGATTTATTATTAGTGCACAGTTTTGTACTCCCGTTTTTTCGTGTTTTTTTTTAATTTTTTATGGCTGCCTTGCTGTATTTTCTGTATGATGTATTATTTTATCCCTTACTGTACACCCCCCTGTGCATTTTAGGCATGAAATAAAATAAAATAAATAAATAAATGACAAATAGAAGTGATTTCGATCTGTAGCTGGTGCAGGCAGGCACTGCCACTTCTCGGTCTAATGACTCAACGTTATTTAACCATAACACGCTAAAATTGTGTGCGTCATATACTGATTTTCTTCTAGTTAATGAGTGGTATAGCTGCCCGTTTTATTTAGGCTCACACAAACCTGATAAAAATAAATACACAATTAATTAATAAATCAATTGTTAGATAATTAAATGTTTATACAACGTAACGCCCATACGAACAACATGACAAGGGCTACTCCTTTCACTTTAAACGTGCTTGATTTAAAATAGGACTCCTCTAATGGGTATGGAGACACTCCTAATCACAAGACGAGGGTAATTTAGTTTCTTTTGTTTTTAATATCAGAAGACTAAACTCTGCTAAGAAGTAGATCACCATTATGTAACACCTCTTTTTCGAATTCTTAAAGAGCACCCTCGGTCACTTTAATAATTTTAGAATAATGTTCGATTACGCATGCGAAGTAGTAATTGGCTGCTCTACGTTCTTTGTATCCACCAAAAAATATTGACGTTGCTCGTGCAGTTTTTATTTAGTGGTAGCCACAAACCGAAACCGAAATTTTGCCTGCAGCGGGCAACATCGCCCACGTGTCTTCTTAGCCATGGTCAACGTTATTAGATTACCTCAGTTGTGGAACTCCCTCGGAGGGGGGTACCCCCCCCCCCCCCCTCACTCACCCCAATCCGCCAAGCGTCGATCGAAGCGTCATCTATATTTTCCTTTCATAACTATGCGTTCCGAAGAGCCCTGCTGACTGAAGCACCAAAAGGCGATCACAACGCCGCATTTCTATCCTGCAGCGGTCACTCAAGGAAGTACGCGTAACATCTATTCTGGCTTCAATCGGCCATTTCGGAGCCGAAACAGATACAGTAGAGAGAGTCACAGGGATGCCACCCCCCTGTCCCCAGCGGGCGCGCCGCGAATTCGACCCCGAAGTTAAGATGAGCCTAGGTCGGGACGCGCTACCTGATATCTCCGCTGAGGCATGGTTGTATGAAAACAATATTAATTATATTGCAAAACCTTGCAAACTAAAGAATTTAGAAAACATCACGCGCCCCCTTTTGTACTAAACTCCGATAAAAGTTACTACAAAAAGAGTTTTTCTCCGTTGATTTTGACGGTTTTTACGTTTCTATAACGTTGAAACGTACGTATCCTGATTTAGTTACCAAAGCAGCCGTCTGGCGGCGCGTCGAGCGACGCTTGGCGAGTCGTGGTGAGTGAGGGGGGGGGGGGGGGGGGGTACTGTTCGTGTGTGCGGTGCCTATGAGCAGTTCTGAAACTGAGCTAATCTAATGACGTTGGCCATGGTCAAACGTGTGCTACAGTGACGTCATGAACCGGTCAAGCGGGTGGCGGGGCGCAAGTGTTGTCTACTCTGCACCGCAGTCTGTTACATCCGACGACGCCTGTTGAACTGTCTTGGACACCGCTTTGGGACCAATTTCTTTCAAGTACTCTTAGGAACCACGAGGCCACTGAATGATTGCAACTTTAAAATCCATTTAGATGAGTGTGCTGTAACCTTGGCGTGGAAGAGTGCGCAGTTATTTTGAAAACTGAATGTTTTTTTTTTTACAATCTTTATTGTTTCCTGAATTATGTGGTGATAACTTACGTGGCCTACCCTGCAGATGTGCTCCCAAGGCATAATAAGGCTGTTTAGAATGGCAACATCCTGATTCGCGTAACATGTCATTTTGTTTCGCCCTTTCCATTAAGTCGCATATGAGCCGCCAAACCTATTATAAGATATTTTTTTTTTAAAGTGCTCGCCCTCAAGTAGATAGTGTGCCGATTATCCGATGCCGCCGTACCTGGGACATGCGCTTCGAGCAAGCACTAAACACGAATGCTGTTTCAGAGTTCGGTGCGTACTCGTGTCGAAATGTATTCAACGACTGCGCTGCGTCAGTGCTCCAATGAGCTCGTATCATATCACATGCCTCGTGCGGCAAACGATGTCCAGATTATGGCGGCCACCAGGGTTGCTTGATCAATCATTGAAAAGGATCTAATACTCGTAGGCGGCTTATTTATGTTTGTATATATAGTACACAATGACTGAAAGGCAAGGGGAATATTCTGACGACTTTCGTTTTAGTCGGAGAATAGCTTAAATAACGACTCCTCTCCTTTGCAAAATAAACCTCCTCAACGTGGTATCGCTATAGCGAAAATCCAAGAAAAGCCTGTCACTTTGCCTTATTTATTTTTATTATTTATTTTAATGTTCCCATTAGGGAGCAATTATTACTTCCCGTTCTCGCTTTTTTTTTTTTTTTTTGACACAACCATTTTTGTAAAATTTGCTTAGAAAAATGTTGTACAAACCAATTCCTCAACTCCCCGTTTCAGCTTTCTATTTCCGGGTGGAACTCTCTGTCCCATAATATTGTGGAAATTATAGATTGAACAAATTTCAAAAACATCGCGCGAAATATTACTTTACAGTACTGAACAACGAGGCACGTGTGCGTGTTAATTTTTTTATATTGAATTTAATATTATTGCCTGAATGCGATATTGTTTTTGTGTGTGTAATAAGTGTGTTCTTCTATGTTGTATTTTGTGCCATCAAATTTTGTACCCCCTCCCCCTCGTATAATGCCCTAACCCGGCGACTTAAGGTATATTAAATAAAAATATATTCGCTCTTAGGTTGTGACTTTGTCTTGCCGACTACAAATCAGTAAGTCGTAACTTTTTATGCAACCTCATGACAAGGCTGTGGGCGGCTGGGTGGTTGGTATTTCTATGCGTCAGTCAGTAAACAACAGCGGGCACAACAGAAGGAGGACGTTTAGGAAGTTGTGGGAAATTGGAATACATTATTTAAAACTGAGTTGCAATACATCTCAGACTTTTTGGAGTGTGCTTTAGGTACGTTTTATCTATACAATAGTAGAAGAACAGATATAATAAATTCAACAGACATCTGGCGTTATACTACGAACGTTCAAGGTATTATGGAGCTCGAATGAAAAGCGAGCGGCGGAACGCGTGGCCTTCGGTAAATGCTGTACCGCCCCAAAGGCTCTGGGAAGTGGTAAAACCGCGAGGGTGTGCTTCCTTCTGTGTGTCTTAAAGCACATACACGCATTTGCGTTTGAGAACGTTCAGTTGGATTGTCTGCGCTGCGACTACGAGTAACCAGGACATCCGAGCTTTGTGTGGCGCGGGGCAAGCTACTCGTTGAATTGGTGCCACACTCCATGCGAGGCACGAGTGATCCGATGGCGTGCGGCCATTTCTCGACGCAACGCTGTCAAACGCAGTGAAACGCACTCGGACAAACTTTTCTTGCGATCTTTGATTGCTTTTTAATAGGGAAATCGGCCCTGGATCGTTATTATTTGGGGATTTCGAGGATGCTTAGAGCTAGCAGAGTGAGTTATCGACATATGTTAGAGATCCCATAAACCTCCTCAAGGCACCTTTAAGCCCTTGTTCGGCGTAGCCCAAGCTTTGGCGCTATTCCGGCGGTCCGCTTGTTGTTCCGTCACAGTAATGCCGCGTTTACACTTGCGTATTAGCCGGCGGACGCCCTCTGGCGGCGAGCGAACTTTGGAGCCGGTTCACGAAACCAGCTCGTCACTGGCGGAAAATCTGGATATGAGTCCCTCACCGGTCCAGGCTTTCCGCCAGCGAGGAGCGGATTTCGCGATCCGGCTATAGAATCCGCTCGCGAATCCGCAAGCGTAAACTCATCATCAGAGCTTCGCTGCGCTCCAGACGAGGGTAAAAACAAATTGTAATAGGACGCATGCCCTCGCAGTTATAATGAGTTCCCAGGGGCTTCCGGGTGGTACAGAATATATCAAGGGCCATGGGGTCCGTCGTTCGCGTTTCATTCATATCCCATAGTGCAAAATCACATCCGCTCTTAACTATTTTATCTTAATACTCACCCAGTTTTGATGAAAGACGACCAGGTCCTGATAAGCTGCTTCATGAATCCTTCTTCTTCTTCTGAGTACCTCAGGCTTGAAAGAAGCTTACTCGCTGATGGATTAATAACCTCCGTATGCCGGCTCTTATCCGTTATGAAAGGTAAAGATCCGAGAGTGAACAACAGGTCATCAGCATGCGCCACGCCGAAGTTCTTGGGCCACAGGCTGCACGATGGACGATGTTCGAACACATACCTATGAGTAGGGATTCCCTGGGCAGAAGTCACTTCCGCAAAAAGATCGGTGGCGCAGTTCATCAACAGGTCCCCCACAATATCAGAGAAGAGTTTTATCACGGTGACGTGGTCATGCTTAACTCCTTCGTCTCCAAAATATTCTCTGACTATGGTCTTTGCTGCTGGCACAGGTATATGAAAAATTGCAGAAAGTGCCAGGACAGCTCCAAGCCTGTAATCTATCTTGAGCACCGTTTCCAGTTGGGGAGCCGCGTATTTTATGTTGTCTACGAAGAGTGTACCCTCGTCAGTAGTTGTACCCATCAGTATTTCCTTCACATGAACCATTTTCCACGTAGACAGTGAAAGCGGATCGGCTGGTATGAACTCGTCACCATAAACAGGCGAGAAGAATTGATTGACCGGGTCTTGTTCCGCTAGTTTCTTAAATATCACGTCGACATCAATTTTTCGCAAACATCCTATGATATTTGGCACTTGTGTAGTCCAATCCTTTTCGGGCAGGTAACAACCCAGCTTTTCAGCAATGTTGAGAAACCTTCCGGCTCCTTTGTAGGAAAGTCCGAGCACCAGGCTTAGAGGGGAAGAACTTTGCATAATTAATCGATGGAAGAGGCCCTTGCTTAGCTGTGAAACAGCGTGAAGCCCCGCAGAAACGGCACCCGCACTATGACCGAGGAGTGTAACGTCGTGTGGGTTTCCTCCAAAACGACCAATGTTTTGATGAACCCACTTGAGCACAAGGAGCTGGTCCCAGAATCCCAAATTTCCCGGCAGGTCGGATGTGCCCACGGAAAGAAACCCCATCATGCTCAGTCGGTGGTTGAAACTTACAAAGATGACGTCGGACAAAGCCACGAAATTCGCTCCGTCGTACACGAAAAGACCGGAGTCGCCCCACTGAAAGCCTCCTCCGTAGATGAAAACCACAACCGGCAGTTTCTTCTCGCATGATTCAGTGCTGTCACATAACCGGGAGGGCCGCCAGACGTTCATATAAAGACAGTCTTCCGAAGCGTTCTGATAACTGAGAGTGACGCCCTTAATGAAGCGAATGTCCAGCTGATTGCAGGCCATGGGTTTCGTTGTTGCTTTGTAAGTTCCGTTCCAGGGATCGGCAGGCTGTGGCTTCCGAAACCGCAGATCTCCAACAGGTGGTTTCGCGTAAGGAATACCATAGAAGGCGTCCACGTCTTTGTCGCTCATTCGGAAACGTCTTCCTGAGATGAGGCCAGAGCTCGTTGCAACAACCGGATCGTCTGAGAGAACGTACCTGACTGAGCAAAGGCCGAACAGAATGGAGATTAAGGCTTCGCCACGCCTCCGAAGGGCCATACCGATCGAATTAAAAACGTTAGACCAAATACAACACACAACTCACGATGTTTGCACCTGGTCACAAAACTGCAAAGCACTTTATCCTTAGAGGAGCAGCCTTTCATTGGCTTCGCGGAATAGCTGTCACACTCGTTTTATTCTGCTCTCGGTCAGGAAGCACGACAAACCAAAAAGAAACGACTAAGATAGAAAAGAAGACGAAAGGTCAGTCCCATGAGTGAGGTCTATCAACCTATTAACGACGAAAGTAGAGGTAAGCGGCACTGCATTCTGTAGTTCGTATCAGCAGCCGTTCTCTTTTCCATTCCCTCAAGGGCGCACTGTTCCAGCGTTTTATTATTTTATTTTGCCTCATATGTGCGTAATGGTTATACCATTCCCTCTGCACGCTAGTTGCACGGTACCTTGCTACTGTGTGACGTATGTTACGCTCCGTGTATTACTAAGATGCGTATCTTTCCACTTGGCAGAAAAAAACAAATATATATCTTGTCAACTTTCCTGGTTTTGTTAACGGGTGATTATGTTTTTGGGCGTTTCCTTAATGCCGGAAACGACGGAAACGGGAGGGGAAAAAAAGTTAAAAAGATGCAACAAACACGGGATGGAATTGGTGCCGTTTTAAGTGAAAGGCCCTGAGGATTATTTATTTCACTGATGTCTTCCTTAGATTGCTTTGTGTCCTCGGAAATCTCCCTCTAAGCGTCTTCGGTCTTGGTTTCCAACGATACAATCTGTCACGGCACCAACCAATTCACTATCTCGCATTGAAATGTGATAAGCGGCAGAAGGTCAGTATTTATCCTCGGCAGGAGGTGTAAGTAAATGTGAGTTTATTGGTCATCTACATGGGGATAAATATATATATCCTTTATGAGCGCCTCTTGCGCGCTGGTTGTGTGATCACTAACAATATTATTTTTCAGTCTATGCTTTTTTGTACACGTTTTGGAATAAAACGGCACACCATGCAGTGCAGCTATATTTATAAACACTCTCTTTTCAAAAAATAAACTTATGAGTTTATTTCACACACAGCAACTCTATGTAGCTAAAAATAAACCCTTGTAAATAATAAATCGGTCAATTAGCTAGTATAATTTATTGTCAGTCTTTAATATATGTGCGCGTTTATCCCAACTACACAAAGTAATATGACGCGGATGACAAACTAGTTCAATGCGGACAAGTCCACAAAGACACTAGAGGACCTCGAATGTCGTGAATATAACATTTTTGTTTTTCAAACTTCATGCTCGGAATTGCCTCAAGGCCTTTTCAGAAAAGTCAAGGCCAGCGAGCGAGGCAAAGCACATACACATTATGCTTGATTCCCTCCTGAAATTTATTTGGAGCCCAGCATGTGACGCCGCTTGTAGCATCGCCCCCCCCCCCCAATCACACACACACACACACAGACATACAACTGACCTGACTACCCGGCATTCCGTCCCGGAATGCCGGGCAGTACAGACGAGTGTGGAAAGTGCTCCACCCAGTTTCTCGGGCGGCATCGATACATCATTTGCTGTGACCCCTGCGACCGCCGTTTCCACCGCAAGTGCCTTGACATTCAGGCTGAAGAATATGACGTACTCATGAAGTCTGGGGAAAGATGCTTCAAATGCCGGTACTGTACAAGACACCAAGATCCCTCTTTGACAACGCTTAGCGGCGGAAACAGCGATGGCGACATTGCTTCGCCTATAAGTGTAGGGACCAAGTCAAATATTGGCCTCGGGGACTGCAATGACACAGCGCACGTAGAGGTTTCTGCAGAAATACGAAATCTGCTGATGGAGTTGTCATTCAGACTGAATGTTCTGACTGATGAAGTAAGGCTTATTTGCGAGGAAAATGGCACGCTTAGGAAGGAAGTAGCCGAACTTCGCGAAACAGTCGTAAACTAAATCTTGGCTGATGCCACCAAAGATTAGCTATCCCTTGGCTCGCCATCAACGGTATCGTCATAGGCGAGGGCGGCCGCCTCTGTTGTACTGTCATCGGTACAAGATCGACGTACCCTGGGATTGCTACAGCTGGCGGCAAGAATCAAGTACGCGAACCTCTTCCTTTCTACAACGTTCTTCGAGATGCTGCAGACGCGGGAAACAGCGACAGCCGTCAATCGACCGTCAAGGATGGTTTTAACCCCTCCAGAACAGAAGAAAGGCCTTGATTGCAATGCGAGCCAACATGGAAAGTAAGCTTTCGTCTGTGCCTCGACCATCGAAGATTAGGGCAGTCTTTGTGACCAGGCTAGACCCGGCAATGACGCCTGATAACATCACGGAATTGCTAGCGTCTGTACTTTACAAAAAACCTGCTGTGTGTACGAAGCTGCAGTCAAAGTTTGATGGCTACGACTCGTTTCACATCTTTGTTGATTGGAATGATATTGATAAAATCAACGGGGCAAACGTCTAGCCGGTTGGCTGCCTGTTTAGGCAATTTTTTGGTACACTCCAGAAGAAAAAAAAAACGGAAGGTCGTGAGTGAAGAGTGCATACTGTATTACCAAACTGCTTGGAGGCTAACAACGAAAGCTGTCGAATTTATGTCAGAAGTAATCATGTACCCGTATAAGATGATACGTCTCACGGAAACGTGGCTGGCTGACGGCATATCGAGCAATCAATATTTTCCTCCCAAGTACAATAGGTTTGGGCGCGACCGTGACTACAATTTTACTGGTCAAAGATATGATGGCGGTGTCTTAGCTGCAGTAGAAAGAAGTATAAAGGTTCACAGGAGTGATTAAGAAGAGTATTCAGAGTCTGTTTGGATTGAAAAAAATGTCAAATGATGGTGGTGTTACCTCATTCGTAACTATTACTTTCCCCTCTTTCTCATCAAAGTGTTCTTTGCGAACATATTAAGTTTATTGAAAGTAAGATATATTTCTCTAGCTTCAGTGTATATATCTAATGGTGCATTGAACCTTCCTGGGTTTGACTGGGAGACTGGTATCTCGGTAGGAATAACTCACACACAAATTAAAAATAAACTGCCTGCTAGATTTTGTACATGTCAATGGCTTTCAGCGATACAATACTGCGCGAAATTTCTGAGGACATGTACTAGACTTCGTACTGGCTGCGTCAGCAAGACACGTTTGTATCGCAAATGAACCTCTCACGCGCGTGGATGACTATATCAAACCATTTGCAGTATCATTTTATTTCCCAGTTAAAGGGGCAGAATTTTATGGGCAGTCGTGGTATTATTACCAACAGGGCGACTACTTCGGTTTGTATGGGTATCTTAACAAGTTTGATTGTAGCACTGCACTAGGTGATACATGCGCTGAGTCATGTACCAGAAAACTAACGGAAACGCTAAAGCAGGCTTGAGACACATATGTACCAGAGAAAATGTCTCGTAAAACTAAGTATCCTCACTGGTTTTCAAAGTCACTGAGGGAGTGCCTGGGAAGAAACCTGCATTATCATCGTCTTTTCAAAAACACGGAACTGAATAAGTGGTACTCTTTAGCTATGTCCCTCGCCGAGCTTCCTCCGTAGGTGCCAGCAATTGGCTCTCCCAACAGCTTTCCGGAAAAGTACAGGCTCCAGGGGCCCTAAACTACACGTCGGAACCAAGCGGGCCCAAGGGGGACCGGAACATACCCGCCTGCTGCGATTGCTCAGCTACACAAGACCATTCGCAGCAGGCGGGGATGTTCCGGTCCCTTGGTCCCGCTTGGTCCCGGCGTGTAGATTACGGCCCCAGATTTCCTACAGTGTTTTCCCAAACGCCTGTCCGTCCGTGCGTCATTGGGTTCGTGCGTCCGCGGATTAATGTCCCCGCGAAATTTAGTGGAAAACTTTAATTGGTGTATAATTATGTACCAGTTTAGGTAACGTGACATCACGGTATCAGGTGACACCACGACTTGACACCGTGACGCCACGTTAGCTGAGCGCGTAGCCTGACATCAAGTCACGTGACATCAAGCACAATATGTTCCTCAATCTCTCAAACGAATATGTAATGTCTTCTGAAGAATTATAAACGATAGTTTCATTTTTTTCAACCACTTTAAACTTCAGATACCGACACCGGGCCAAAAAATGAGACGTTTACAAATCTCTTTAACGCGAAATTAGAGAGCAGCTCTTGAGAAGGAGGAGGGGAGGGTATGCACCTCCACCTGCTGCGTACCTCTCGTCCTCCCCTCCTTTATTCCTCCTCCCATTCTCATTCTCCTCCCCTCCTCCTCCTCCTTTCTTTCTCCTGCTCCTCCTCTCATCTCATTCCTCTCCCCCTTCCTCCCCCCCTCCTCCTCCTTTCTTCCTGCTGCTCCTCCTCTCATCTCATTCCTCTCCCCTTCCTTCCCTCCTTCTCATCCCTCCTTATTTTCCGTACATTCCCCTCCTCCTTCTCTGTACTCTTCCCTCCTCCTCTTCCATACCCTCCCCTCCTCCCACAGTTTCCCCACAAACTTTAGCTGAAAAATTGACGGCACGTGACTTCAACTGCCATACAATCCCTGATTGTTGAGGTCACTGCTGTTCAATTGCTGTTGAGGTAACGTGAGGTCAATTTTTACGCTAAATCTAGCGGAGAAACTGAAACTGTTCATACGTGACCGGACACCAAGTCATGTGATGTCATTTTCTCCACTAAATTTAGCGGTGAAACTGAATTGGTGTTGAGGTCACGTGTCGTCAATTTTCCCGCTATATTTAGCGCGATTACGCCGACGCCGACGCCGCGAAACTCGGAAAAAGGCGCCTAAGAGGTACGCTCTAAAAGGAAGACCTTATATATCTTTCAGTGCTACAGGCTTATTGGCAATAACCTTTTTCGGGAGGTCAATGAAAACCTTTTTCTAGATAAAAAGTAATTAATGCACCTATTTCTAT